TTTCTTCTTTTTATTTTTTTAAATTACCCGTAACGTATTAATTTTAACGTCGGAAATGCAACGTTTAAACGTTTGAAAAATCGAGCTTACTTTTAATAGTGGTAGTGATCGATCAATTTGTTTTCTGCGTGTATTGGTTTTTAAAGTATCATTTATTTCGTACAAACTTCAGGGAATGGGAGGGAGGGGAAGAAAAAAAAACAAATTCTAAAACAAAATTCAGGCGTTAAATTTGTAGAAATACAGTCTAATAACCCATTTGGTAGCCATGTAAATTTTTTGCGTTACGTTATTTAAAAAAAAAAAAAAAAAAATTTTAAATTTCTGTACACAAAAAGAATTTAAATTCCAGTTAGTCTGGATAAGATATATTTAATTAAATTTTCATTTTCATTGAGAAACATATAATCGCACAATGTCTGCTGGAGCGGAATTATTAACCACAGTAGACCCACATCTTATTCCAGGGTAAATAGTGCATTTTATATTTGTGTATTAAACAAAACAAAAAAAAAAATTAAATATATATTATACGTTTAATTTTATTTAGGCTTGTTATATCATCCGTTGTTCGGAAGAAATATATTGCGCAAGAAATTATATTTCGAGTATATTTACCTCTTCACTTCTATACTCTCCTGTTTCTTTTCACGCGTGTACTTTGAAAATAAAAAGGAAAGAAAATTAAATAACCCGTTTCAGATATGCCGGCTATTGTCCTCAATATCGGTTCAGATGCGGTGAAACGTACGGAAGTCTAACCCATAAATTGCTCATTGATCCCACAGTAAATCATGCGCAGACGATCATTTTATCGAATCGAGTCATCGACGATTACGAGGTATCGTGAAATTTTTTCCCCTTCGCTTCCTTATTTTTTCTCTTCACAACTTGATTTATCACTAATCGTTTATCGATTATCAATGCAATTGTAGGTACAGAGACCGCCGAAAACTGACATAGACACGGTGAACGCTAGATATAAGAGAACCGATCCTTTATACAAGCATCCTATAACGCCAGGATACGAAGGTGAGATAAAAGCAAATTTATAATAAATAAATTTTATCCAAGATTTTTATAAAAATCAAATTCATTCTAGGCTTTATCCCAAAATTGAAGGCAAGAACTGGGCAAAGATACACGGTGCTAGCAACGGAAGGACTTGGTGAATTTGAGCGGCAGCAGTTAAAAAATAAAGCAGCGCTTAACGAGCTTAAAAAAACAATAGCTCTACAAAGTGGACAGGGTGAACCGAGAAATTTAGAAGATCGTTTGGTAAAAAGATACTTGTGCATCGATGAGAAATTTTTTATTATTAAAAAAAAAAAAAAATTAATTTTGTATATATCTCATAATATACAGCTCATAGAAAGTGAATTTAAATTACCTATGCTATCGGTCCGTCCTGATTGCGTTGGTGTAATGAGAAATTTATTTTTGGACGAGCAACACGAGGCGCCCAGGGATCACGCCCCATCCCCTTATTTCATGGACAACGCGAATCCGAAGAAATACTTTATCAGTCGTGAGTTAAAATTTTATCTTTTTATTATTGGCTTGAACTTGCCTTCGAATAATCCCATAGTGTTAAAAATTACGTAAGCGATATAACTGTAAGATTCAACTGTTTATCGAAATGTTTAATGAACGATGAAACTTCATAATTTCGATATATTGTTAACAAAATAAATTGATCAATGAGCATACAATATAAAAAGATGTCGAATTTATAAGATTATATTAACAATAAGTAGAGTACAGATGGATCTTACGGATAGCGAACAACGAATGCGATATTCCTTAATTCGAGAAAATAAAAGAAGTGAGTGCGAAAGGAGTTGAAGATGAGAATATCGAGAATTTTTCTTTGCAATATCGAATTATAAATATTTAATTGTGTATTTATAGGATATGCGGGCCACATTCCATACGGATATGCACATTTTGGAAAATCAAATATTCCTGCTACCAACAGTGCTCTTTGCGATTTTACATCCGATTATCGTAAGAGGCAAAGTACAGAATGGGCACCAGTTACGATTTCACGGCCTGATCCACCGCTTGTAATCCAACCCACCGCTATATATCACAAACATGTTGGTATGCTTCCAAATTATCTTGGACATGTTCCTGGGGAAACGTTCAGGTAAATAATATTTAATAATTTTTAAGTAATCATTCTAATTTCCTTAATAAAGCATTTCATATAAAACATAAAAAGATGTAAAAAATATTCAAATGAAACACATTATATATGCTTCAAAATTCCCTTTTATTTAAATATTAAATATTGTATTTAGATTTGGTAAAACTTTTGGTGCTGACACTAAAGATGCAAAAAGATGGCTTCGTGCTGATTTCTCTCCATAAAATATGATATATAATGAATAGTTCTAAAAAATATTTAATAGTATGATAAAAAAATAACAATGGTTTTTACTAATTTTATTCGTGATGTAAACTTATGTAAAGTTATGTATTGTATTTGATAATAAAATTGAACAGAAAATTTTAATAAAATCTGAGAAATATATGGTATGAAATTTAATTGAATGAATGATGACTATATATAATGAAAACTAATAATTACTAATTAAAATCGTTTTTTTATCCCAAAAAAAGAAACAAAAGAAAATGAATAGAAGAATACTATTCTTGAGATTTCCACTTCATTAAAATTTCAGCTGCTTTCTTCAAATTTTCATCTTTCTACAATAAAAAAGAAATCAATTATGAATAAGAAAAAAAATATAATAATGTTGATATTATTTATTGTACACGAATTAATTCTTACTTTTATAAAACAGTATCGCACATTATCTTCACCTAAATGTTTATGTTCGGAACTGTAAAAAGCGGATGGCGGAATTCCTTGAACACCAACGTTTTTCGTCATCCATTTTGTAAAACGATAATCTTTATTCTCATCCGTTTCTTCTTCTAAATTAATTTTATCTTTTAAAGCTGTCCAATTAGCTACCATAAAATATCCACCTTCGGGAATTGTCGGAGACATTCCTACATCGCTAAGAAATTTAGCCATATAATCTCGTTTTGATATTAATTCTTTAGCTAAACTAACAAAATAACAATCAGGTTGACCGAATCTTTCTAATTCTTGTTCGAATCCAATAGCTACAGCTTCCTAAAAAATTAAAAAATTAAAAAGATTAAAGAAATAATTCTAAAAATTATAGATATTCAATTAATAATTCAATAATTACTTGAATTGGTGTATTACATGTATATACACTATTTTGATGAACAATTTGCAAGTTATATAATAAATTTGCTGGACCATAAGCCCATCCTAATTTCCATCCAGTGACACTGAATGTTTTACCAGCAGATCCAATTGTAATTGTACGCTCATACATATCAGGTAATGTTGCTAAAATGTATTTATTATTTAAATAAAATATTTGATAAAAATGATATATAATTAGATATCTTTACCAATTCTAATATGTTTATATGGTTCATAAACAAGCCATTCATACACTTCATCTGCTACAACAAGAGTATTCCATTTTTTAGCTAAATCAGCAATGAATTGTAATTCATCTAACGTAAAAACTTTTCCCAAAGGATTGTGTGGAGTGTTAATAATTATTCCTTTTGTTTTTTCATTGAAAAGACTTTCTAATTCTTGTTTATCAAATATCCAATCTGCAGAAGAAAGAGGTCCATTCGTGCGTTTCTTTGAAATATAAAATATATTTTGTAAATATAAAAAAACTTATATATAAATTAATAATTTCCATATATTAACTTACTGGTTTTAAAGCAATAAATCTTGAAATTCCTCCAGCACTCTTAACCATAGGTACATAACAGTCAAAAAAAGGTTCAATAATTATCCACTCATCACCAGGATTAGTATGACCTTGCAATGTAGCATATAATGCTTCATAAGCACCAGCAGTTATAAGAATTTCATTATTTGGATCTAAAGTACGGTTTAATAGTTTAGAATACAATTTTGCAACAACATTAACTAAACGTGGATGACCCTAAAATAATATAATTTATTATAAATTTTAAATTAATAAATAAAATAATTTAGAATAAAAAAAATGTTATAATAATATTAATAAATTAGTTAGAATTTATTAGTGACATTAAATTTTGTTATAAAGCTAAAATATTTACAAATCCTCTGGTATATTGATTCAAAAGAGGATTTTCACTTGTAGCTGTAGCAGCTAAAGCTTTTGTTACATTTTCTGGAGCATGAAAATCTGGAAATCCTTGTCCTAAATTTACTAAAGGTTTATATTTTAAAGCCAATTGAATATATTCTACCCTAAAATAAAATTAGTTTAATATATGTACATATATAAAATTCTTGATATAATACATTACATATTATTTACCATACTGATTTTTCATTGCCTTTTAAACGATCAGGAAGATCAAATTTAGACATCATAACAGATTTTTGTATATTTTTTAATGTGGATAAAGAATATGATATTTTAGAAGTTGTAGAAAAATTAACTTTAATAAACATCTAAAAAACAATTGTGAGTAATGATAGTTATAAACAGATGACAACAAATTTAAAAACATGTATTAAATTATGATTTAAATAATTAATATAATTTAATATAACTAAATTATATTAATTATTTAATTATATTAATTATATATATATTTAATAATATATTAGGAACTATACATTTTTGAACATATAATAACAATTAGATTATTAATGTTAGAAATTAACATTAATAATCTTAACATAAACACATATAATAATAAATGACCACTTCTTACCAATATATAATATATAGATAAGATTATAAAAATTTTATAAATTGCAAACTAATGTTATGATAATGTTTTTACGACATTTTTATCAAAATGGAGTACTTATGCAACAAGTTGTTTATTTAAAAAATATTGAAAAAATATCTAGATTTATGTAGTAATTTTATTTACTGCTATTGGTAATTCATTTCTAACTAAATAAATAATTATTTGATTTTTCAATATATATATTAAATAATACATAATAATTTAAATATATTTTAAATGATTATGTAAAATTACAATATTGCTATAGAATTATTAAGAAAAATTAATATATTAACATATTTAAAACATTTTATTAAACAAAATTTTAGATTTTAATATTTTATATTTTTTATATTATAAAATGAATTATACTTTAATTATGTCAAAAAGATTTAAATATAATAAAATAATATAATAAACTTACCAAAAATAAATACAAAAAATTTTCTATTTTCATTCTAAAATCTATTTAAATTATAAATTACAAGTTTAATAGTTTATTGTAGTATCTAATAGTTATGTTCGAAAAGCTATCTAGATAGCAAACAATTGAAGATTTTTTTTCGAAAGTAGATCAAGGTAATTTGAAAGGTTCATTTGAAACTTAAAATATGAAGTATACTCCAGCATTACGATATATTGTTAAAAATTTAGAATTATATACAATTCAATTGTTGAAATTAATAAAATTAATGAAAATAAAAAGATTCTTTTTTGTTATAGCATATATAAATAATGTCATTTGTATAATATATGAAGTATGAACATGGCAAAATCAAAAAATTCAAATTTGAATATGTAAATGAAATTTTTTTTCATATAAGTTCAAATTAAAATTTAGACTCTTAAGAATAATTAAAGATTATTTTCATTTTAATTTAGCAAATAAATTTTAACATACAATTTATAAACACAATTTAAGATGCCATCTAGCAATGAATAAGTAAAATTAACCACGAAATAACAATCGAAAATTTAAAATTTTTTGGTTTTTATAATTTTGAATTTTTAACTTTTTTAATTTTTTTAATTTTTAAAAATTCAAATTAAATCTTAAATCCTTGGAAATTATTTCAGATTAATTTCATTTGAATATTATTTTTTTTATGAAATTATAAGAAACATTTAAAATGAATAAACTCTATCATCTAGCAGTGAAAAAGTAGAATTAATTATTAAATGTCAAATGTGAAATTTATAAATGTTTGTTACAATTAGTAAACAAAAAATGATATTCAAACGAAATTAATTTCAAATCATTTCTAAAAATTTAATTTGAAATTTAATTTCATTTGAAATCTTAACAAAATTAAAAAATTTTATTATTTAATGTTAATTTCATCTTTTCACCGTTAGATGTCGATTTGTGTCCATAAATTGTATCAATTTCAAATGTTTTTTATAATTATGAATCGAAAAATATTATTTAAACCAAATCAATTTTAAATTATTCCTGAAGATTTGAGATTAAATGTGAGATCTGAAAAATTAAAAATTTTAGTCTAGAGAAATTTTGTAATTTTTCGATTTTGATTTAACGATTAGTTCCAATTTTCTACCGCTAGATGGTTATAGTGTTTCAATATCTGAATTTATAAATGAAGTAGAGAAATGAATAATTTATTTTTTGAGTATATATATTATTTGTAGTATTTTTTTATTTAATTATTAAAATAAATGAATTATTTTGTTTAACTATTAGAACGAATAATTTATATGAATATTAAAAATATTTGTATAGTTACATAAGTTATTTTTTTAAATATATAAGATAATAAAATTTTTGAAAACTATTAAGAAAATATTGTTAAAAATGACCCAATCTCAACAAGTGATCGAAGAGTTATATGATTCTTATACAAAAACTGCTGCTAATATTATTGCATATTATGGTAAGTATATATATATATATATATATATAAGGTTAATGAATTAAATTAATAATATTTTTAATATTTTTTTAATCGTATTAATTAGTGCATAACATATTATAAGCATTAAACATTAAATCATTAATTTCAGTAATATAAAAAAAATTTATCATATTTTATATTTATTTATTTATTATTATATTATTGTATTTTTATAGATGATAATGAAAGAAAGAATAAATTAAAAGAATTAAGAGATATAGTAGAAAATAACTGTATTCAAAATAAAAAATTAAAATCAATAGAAATCATAAAAAAAAGATTATTAAGTTTATATAATGATGATGATGATGATAGTCTTAAACATAATATTGAATCTACCATGAATGTAAGTATATAATATAGAAAATTATAAAATGTATATTTAATTATATGAAAAAAATAATATATATTTAAAAAAAATTAGGAATATAAACAAGCCATAACTGAAATTGATAAAAACGTGGAAAATGATAATAACCTAAAGGAATTTGATAAGCAAGTAGAAGCACTCTTAGGTACATTTAAAATTATAATAATAAAAAAAAAATATGAAATATATATGTAACTATTATATATAATTGATATCATTTGACAATAATATTTGTATTTCAGATAGAATAGTACAGAAAGAAAATAATGCAGATGAAGAACTACAACTTACAGGAGGCTATATAAATATAATTGATCCAATTTCTAAAAAAAGAATTGTAAATCCTGTGAAGAATACTATATGTGGTCATACTTATGACAAAGAAAGTATTACGCAATTATTGAAACTTAATAAAAAAACAAGGTAAATATTTTATTAATAAAATTCATTTATATCTGATGATAATTTTAATCATGTATTGTATTTGCAGATGTCCTGTTATAGGCTGCAAAAGTATAGAATTTGTAACACTTAAACATCTTCGTATAGACATTTTAACAAAAACATATCTTGAAAAAAACCCAGAATAAATACTTGTGACAAATTTTAAATTAAACATTCAAATAATATAATATTTTATAACATATATATCATTTATATAAAATATAAAATTTAATATCTACGCATCATCAAAATAAAAATAAAAATTTTTTGTGATGTTTCTTGTACCTGAATACAACGCGTGAGTTATCCTGATACATTACAATTGTAAATATATTTATATTTAGTTAAAAATTGTAAAATATTAGCTCTGTTCCAATTGCTTTTAAGGATTTATTTTAAGGATTAAAAAGAAGTTTAAAAATATATTTCTTAAAATTATATATAAATATATATAATTATATGTAATTATATACAAAAATTATTATACTTAGACGTACTATATAAAACTATATTTCCTATTAAATAAAATTAACATATAATTTATATTTGTATTATTATTAAAGAAAAGAAAGAATATCTTTTTGCTTGATTTTTTTAATGAAATTTGTATAAATTTTACAACATACAACATTGTATAGAATATAAATAAAATATTAAAAGCGAAACAACTTCAAGTTATTATATATTTGTTTGTCTGTAATTTGCATCTTGTAATATTATCACTCTCTATGATGTCAACGATTAGGCTATGTTTATAATTACGTTTTTATCCACGGTATTAATTCTTTCTCGTGGGAAAGCTCGTCGTATCGTTGACGGAGTCAATGTGGATGGAAGCAATTGGGATCCATTTCTATTGATATCGAAAGATTTGTACGAATCACCGAATTACGATATAACACATTGGGTACGGCAATTGCATCTACAGCAATGCGCTTTTGTAGAAATCGGAGAAGGATTTTGTGCTGTAAGCAGAAAGTATTTCGTGCAAAATACTTTCTTTCTTGCAAACAATTTAATTGAACATACGTATATATATATATATACGTATATATATGTATACGTATATATATGTATACATATATATATATATATTTCGTATAAATACAAACGCAAAACAAAAACGAATTTTAATAACTGTGCGATAATTTCAAAAGAAAGAAACAAAAAAAAATTTTTTTAACAAAGCTTAAACCTTCGTGCAATACAAATTCTATTTAATATTTAGTTGTTCGTCGAATTACGTAGCATACCTTCCGAATCAAAAGTTCTGGATAGCTCTGAAGTTGGTGAATTTTTTCTTGGGAACTGTCCTTGTTTGACCCTTCACACTTGGGAGTTGTGCTCACCTGAATTGACAAAACTGAGGAAAACAGACTGCACATTTAACGAAGCTACTCCATATTCAAACACAAGTGCCAGAGTTCACAGACGATTATGCGACATAACTTCACTCGTCGAGAATGCTTCATCTTGCGACTGTTCCATTCCAATAGCAGGTCAAGGATTGTACAAGACAAAAGGTTTTGTAAAATATTTTTTTTTTTATTGATAAAAATAAGACAAGTATTTACATAAAAAAAAAAAAAAGAAAGAAACATACGTGCAACGTATATATATATATGTGAATAGAAAATTTAAACAATTATTATAAAGATAACTTTTAGGATTTCCAACATGTTTTTTGAATCCTCTACCCGAAAGCCTGTGTTCCCCACGCGGGGTTTGCGGCATTGCTCAATGTACAGCGAGCACAATCAAAGGAATACACACATCTCAATGTGACCCAAATTGCCATCAGAGACAACCGGTAATATTATTCTGTTCCAAGCGTTGAATAATATTTATTTATAAGATTATTTATAAGATTATGATTATTAAATTCAATATATTATTTCTTTCAAACTTAACTTCAACAAGAGATTAAATATTTTTCAGTTTTGCGAGGAAATTGGCCCTTCGACTTCAGTCCCAGCAGAAATTAATTCCTTATGGTCACGGTGGTCGACACCAAAATGCAACAACAGTTGCGGTAGAGGATTCATGGTAGAAGTTGCATCATGCCAAGATCAAGTAACGTAAATAAGAATTGAAGCTGAACAATAATAAATAGATGATAAATAAATAATTGTAATATCAATATTTCTTGATGAAATATATAAATATATATGTATATATCTAAAATTATATTATTACCAGAGGAAAACCAGCCATAGATTGTATCGGGCCAGGATCGTTTTGGTGAGCCAACGCTCCTTTCAGGAAGTTCCCTCGAATTCCTTGACCATGACGAAAGGTGTGAACTTTTCTAGCTGCCCGGATACCTTCGTTAAATGTTATTGCGAAGTAAACACCGTTGATGGAATTATGAGAGCGACCAGACTCACAGAACCTTGCATTTCTATCGAAGGGTGTATCTCAAGTAACTCTGGAACATTCACTTTTGAAGGAGAACTTGATCCTGGTAACAACATAGACTTGGACGATGTTTATGAGAATGATGATCGTGAAAGGTTCGAAGGTACAAACTTGTTACATTTGTCGAATTAAAAATAAGAATATAGAAATACCTCCTCGTTTCGATTCTATTATCAAAAAAAAAATCTTTGAAATTAATTACAATTAATAACAATTAATTTTTAAATATATTCGAAATAAAATTTTTATTAATTTAATATTAATAATTTATTAATACTTTATTATATTTAATTAATTATTAATAATTTTTTTATTAATTTTTAAATATGTAACGAAGTAACGATAAAAGATCGGAAATTTAATTAATTTATAAGAATTGTATGTGTATATACTGCAATATTTTTTTGCAGTATCTTTTTCTTTTTTTTTCATTATTCTACAAATTGTAGACTTCTCAGTAGTGATGGAACGCAAATTGCCCATTATCTCAGTGTGCATATCATTTTTCAGACACGTTGTGTTACTCAGACTCGGTGCGAATACCGCGACGTAATCTTCTGCAAGTTCACAGCGCGGAGCAGGAGGACGACTACGTGGTACGCGAAAATAGACTTGAAAACAACAACTTTAAAGACGAGCGCGGTTATCGTTCCGTTCTGAGAAGGCGATCAGGCGACGAGGCCAACTATAGAAACCAAGACGAGGAGGACGACTTGGAGGACGAGGATGAGGATGGGGACGATGAGAAAAGAGTTTTTTTCGCCGTCGCGAGGCCCGATGATGACGACGATGACGACGATGACGACGAGGACACGGTGAACGAAACGGAGGAACCACTTGGCGATTACGGTTAGTACTTAGGCGTAAATTTCCTTTCCTGACTTTTCTAGATCGGGTTCAGAGACTCC